CTTCCTGTTTACTAAACTGCTCTTCAGCAACTGGAGTCCGCTTTAAGCGCAGCTAGAAGCGACTAAACCGCAGCACAATAGCAGTACTATACAGAGAACACTCTCACTTTAAACAAATTGTACCTAGAACGGCCTCTGGCCAAAGTCTTACATAGTCACTGACTGCAGATAGACTCTAATGGAATAATAATAATAATAATAATAATACGAGCTGCTCGAGAATCGTTCCTTCTTTGCGTTGATTTCACGCAAGTAATAAGCAGTGAAAACTCTTTTGCTCAGCACCTGTTGGTCTTGCGAAGCGCGCTACTATTTGATTAATTGTAATCCAAACTTTTACGTATTAGGAGGAGCTTCTGGCTAGTGGGGCTATGGTAGGGTCTGATGGCGCACACCGAGGAGATCAATGGTTCTCTGCGCGTTGATAGGGACTAGTCCTACTTCCTCAAAAGTCCTCATGTATTTTCCAGACGTGAACACTGCGAGAAAAGCGTCTCGAAAGACTTCTAGAGGTACTCCACAATTCTGAATGGTCTCACGTACGGGCTGAAGCCATGGGTCAATACCCTGTGGGTCTTCCTGCGCTGCTCTCTGGTGGGCCTTTGCTCGATTTGCTTTCAAGTTAGCTGCAGGCTGTACTAACTACTCAATGCAACTTCCTCTTACAATCTTCCCACTATGCGTTGGTGGTTCGTCTGCCATATCTGCCACCTTACAGAGCTAGGACGCAAAGCCTCACGTATCTAGACGAAGAATATGCCGTAAAGTCGCCTGATTTTCGATTACAGCAAGACTTTGGTAGTTTGCCTGTGTTCAGTATTGAAACTTAAAACCACGCATTCGACCAAGGAGCGGTTGATTTCGCAACAACGTTAAAACTTGTGGTAACGCGTCGTACACTCTTATATTAACCTAAGGCATAGGATTGAGAATCAAGAAAGATTCTGCCGTCTGGCTAAGTTAGCATCCCTTACTATTGTTGAGTTATTCTAGTTTGTACGTGATGTTCGCAATGCCAAGAAGAAGTAGCCATTTCGGTGGTCAAACACGTTAGGTAAGATACGTACTAAAATGATATTTGTCTACTCATCAGCATACTGCTGACAGAGAAATGTAGGCAGAAGGGGGTTTTGTGTTTTGGAAAGTAAACACGTTACGCATACGCGTATAAGCGTGCACGTACATGTAAGACACAGAGAGGAGGTTGAGTAGACGCGGGATTGAGAAAGTTTACGAGGTAGAGTGGTGAATTTGTAGGGGCAGGTCAAACACTTTGAAGAATCTAACTCTAGTTCCTAGAAGAGACGCAATTCTGTTAGCATAACGTGCAGCATACGTATGTAACTAAACACTTCGTGTAAAGGGAAATGAAGGCGTCACCATTCCTACCACACAGGAACTTCATAATCTCGATTTATTATACTAAGAACTAGCGAAACACGCATAGCACCATGTCATTCTGCTATCTAAATGCATTATCAAATTTGCTAGTTACGTGGAACAATCCTTCTAGCACATCGGAAATACCACTCCACTAGTAGAAGTCGCCATGTGAGTACATATGAGTAGAATCCTATGCCAACAATAGCGTTCGCCTACAAATGGAAGTGTCGCAATACCGTCCGCAAAGCGCCAATGATTGAGGGGCTTCCAAAACAGTACACGCACAATGCCCGTCACCACGGGAACTCCAACCATGTGGCACAGGTTCTAAGAAACAATTATACATTGTCCGGACAGAGCACTCCGCTGCCAATTTCCTATTAGCCATAGATCTTTTCACTGTGGAAAACCGCGCTACAATTCTAGACAACGACTCTAGCAGCCTGATCGGTTCGTGAAACTCTCTTGACGTAACCATACTGTCCATGCAGAGGGCGAGAAATAAGAAGAGAAAATTCTCTACTCTATGTATGGGTGGAGTAGTTAGTAGATTCCTTCTTTCTTTGTTTATAGGCCGTTCTATATATCGTAAAGCATCGTTTGGTAGTATTGGTAGTGGAGGAATAGCTTGGTTACTGCTTCGAGAAACTTCTTCATGCTCTGGAGAATCGAAGTATTATGCTGTACGCACACGATATTATCACGCCTAGATACTCTTAACCTTAGAGTGTTGGGTACAGAAGCGGTAGAGCTAGTGTTTGCCAATGGGTCGTAGAAAGGCCGGTGTAGCTGTAAGACGGTATCGAGAGCGGCGGACTTCTTCGGCCATTTCAACTGCTAACGCGGGCGACGGAGGGAAACTAGCAATCTCAAATTGAGAGAGCTATTGTATAAACATTCCTATAGCCTGTAATAGAGCTAAAAAGAGGTGCAGCTTTACCTACTTTTGAATTTTGCTACGTTATTTAGGGTTGTATAGAGCTTAAATATAGTACTATTTTTATAGTTATCTTATAATAGTAGTTATAGCTTCTCTAGCTTTTCTAGCTTTTCTAGCTTTTTAGCATTTTAGCTTCTCTAGTGTTTTAGCTATTTTAGCATTTATAATATAATAAATGCTTAGTATTACTAACTTAAAATAGAGATTCTTAATATCTTAATAATTCCTCAATAAGTAATAGTAGGGCTTTTTAAAGCTAATTAAAGTTAATTCTACTAATAAAGTCTTATAACTATTTTAAGCTTCTATAGGAAAATAATAACTAAGCTAACACGTGACTAATTTTGATATGTAGCTAAAGCTGCAACAAGAGTACTCTCCTCCATGATCAAAAGTATTTGTAGAGATTTGTGGCTCGTAGACCACGATGTTCGTCCAGACATCCAGTATGAGACTTTGACACCTGCCAAGCATTCGCACACTCGTGGATAGAGGAGAACACGCTAGTGCGCAAATCAGTAACAGCATTCTGTATCCGAGATTCGAGAGGCGCGTCTAAATCGCGGGTTGTCGCGTTCATTGTCGAGGGACACGAAGTGTATCAAGGGAGGTCGGGAACTCATGTCCCGCTTCCCCGTGATCTACGTTATGCAAAGTTTATGTAACGATTCCGGCTCCTAGCTGAATTTTGCCAGAATGACATTCCATCGCAGCGTGAGGACTTTCGTTACTTTGATGCGGCGAAGAGTTCCAGGACAGCAGGCTGTCCCAAATCGACCGGGAAGACAAAGTATGATGTCAAGATGGAGATGGAACATATTGCCGATAGCAGTATATAGGCAAAATTACACCCTGTAGTCAAACTCAATCCGATTTCCGGCAACTTTGGAAAACGAAATGCCTGAAGGCGTTGGAGAAACGAAGCTTGTAATAGATGCGAGACGTCGCTTAGTGCCAATGCAGTATTGATGGAGGTATACTCTACAGATAAAATGATCGTAATTAGAATACTCCTGGATGAATCAAATCGAAAACCAGAGGAGGGAGATGGACGATGCGCTCTGTACAGAACGCGTCCTTGTTCAGGCTTGAATGGAAGCATATCACACTCGAACAAGTGGAACTTTCTCAAAGCTCGTACTAAACATATAACTCCAACCCTTGGTCATAACGCGATGGATGACTAGTGTGAATCGGCCCCTTCAAAGCGAACACGTCATTGTATAGATTTATTATGGGGCGGATTGTCTTCGGTGATTCCTACGAGATTACATGATTGGGTGATTGCTCGGGCATTGCGGAAGTTCACAATAGCTCCGTACGTATCCCCATATGACTCGATGGTCCTCTATGCGTACCAGGGTAACTCTCCCTGAGTCGGACTCCGACCGCTATCTCCCAGGTAAGTATCTCCAAGTCTCGCTTGTCTCCTCCAATCGGGTTTCGGGTTTGCGCTCTTTTGGAAACCCGCATCCACGACCGAGTATCTCCGTACTAAGTCCGAAGGTACCAGGCCGACCATACACATGTCGTTTGCCGTGATCCCAAATTTAACAACAGCTTTGTTCTCACAGAGTTCCTACGCTACTTTCACGCTCTGCCTATCTCATCTTTAATTACACCTAGCAGAAAATCTTGATAATGCAGACCACGAACGTAGCATCAGGTCCTCCGACAGAGGGTCTTGCTACCGTTCTGACTACAGAGCACGAAGAATCTAGTAATACAAGCCTGACGACAGCCAGCCATACTCACAATGAGAAGGATCGAGACGAGGACCTCCCACAAAAGGAAGGCTCTGCTCAAGTAGAGCAGGAAGAAGCACCTGCAACAGGAGCGATCCCTGTGCCTAGAGCACAGCGGCGTGGACTTTGGGCCAATTTATCGATTATCCCTGAGGTTGAGGAGCCATCAAAATACTCAGCGGGGAAGAAGTGGGCGATGACCATCATTGTTGCATTGGCGGCTGCGACTAGCTCCACTGGTTCTGCCATCTTTTATCGTGGGTCGAGCAGCGCATCTCAGTCCTTAAAGCGTACAGTACTGACATTTTTTGCAGCTGCTCTGCGTCCAGTTGCTGACGACTTGCACACCTCACAAACTGTAATCAACTTATCATTGGCCTTCTACCTGTTCATAATGGCGATCACGCCTATGTGGTGGTTCGTGCTGCATCCAACATAACGCAATAAGCTATACGAGACTGACGCTCTCAACAGGTCTTCTTGGTCAGAAACTCTAGGACGGCGGACAGTCTACATCAGTTCGTTCCTGCTTTTCGTCATATTCTCGGCCATCAGTGCTGTCAGCGTCAACATCGAAATGCTTATTCTCTTCCGAATTCTCACTGGTGGCGCTGCGGGTGCTGTGCAAACTGTCGGCTCAGGAACAGTTTCTGATCTTTGGGAACCCAGAAAGCGAGGCAAAGCGATGGGAATATTCTTCTTGGGTCCCCTCTGCGGACCAGGTATTGCGCCTATCATTGGCGGTATCTTGACCCAAACGCTCGGTTGGCGAAGCACGCTCTGGGCGCTTTGCATTTTTGGCGGTGTCCTGTTGCTTTCTATCATACTTCTGCTCCCCGAGACTGTTGCGAGACGCACACCAGAGAAAAAGAGCCCCATGGCACGCTTCATTGATCCAATCAAGACTCTCGGCCTACTCCAACACCCTCCTGTGCTGGTAACGGTTTTCTCTGGCGGCCTGAGTTTTGCTGCACTCTATATCATCAACATCGCGATCCAGTCAGATTATAGCTCGGCCCCGTACAATTTCGATGAGATCATCGTCGGCTTGCTCTATATAGCTCCGATGCTGGGTTACGCCGTTGCTTCGCAAACCGGCGGACGTTGGATCGACTACCTTATGGCTCGTGGTGCGCAGCGAGCGAGTCGCTACGATGCTGAAGGCAAACTAATTTATCTACCCGAAGATCGCATGCAAGAGAATATGTGGATTGCAGCCTCTCTCTATCCTGGCGCTATGATTTGGTATGGCTGGGTCACTGAATATGGTGTCCATTGGATCGTCTCTTGCATTGCGAACTTTTTCTTCGGTATTGGCGCTATGCTCGTTTTCGGCGCTGTCACAACTATGCTAACGGAGTTCACACCTAAGAGGGCTTCGGCTGGCGTGGCCTTGAACAACTGTGTCCGACAAGTCTTGGCCACTATTGCGACAGTGGTTGTTCAGCCGTTGATCAACGCCATCGGCACGGGATGGATGTGCACTATGATTGCCCTGTTTTGTTGGGTTACCGGCAATGCAGCTATTTATATGCTGAAAAGGAACGGACCTCAGTGGAGAGAGAAAATGGAAAAAAAGCTGGATGCTACTAAGAAACAGGAGAAATGAGTGACCCCAGTCCCTTCTTAAGAGGTATGTCTAGTCCAAGTCCCAAGCACAAAAGTAACACTGTGCTGGCCATGACCATACTAATAATCCAAGTATAAACCAATTACAATTCCATAAGTCGACTCTTCTTTGCGTTTTTCAAGGTCATTAACGGTAAGTCTGTATCTATCAGTGTTATGTGCCTATCTAACTCTACCAAGTCGAATATCACCACAATGGCGGATGAGAATAGGAAGCAGTGCTCAAATTGCGTAGTAATTGTTTCGGAACAGTTTTATACCATACTACACACCTAAAACGGAAGAGATGCATGTATCAGATATGCTTGTTCGTACAAAGCAGTCTAGTAAATCATAATATAAGAGATACAAGTGGCCGTTAATCTACTCATATGTATTTCCTTGCCTTATTTGATCTAGCTATCGAAGTTTTCCCACTTTAGTCAACTAAACTAATTGCCCTTTGTCATCACACTTATTGTAAGACCTTGCAGGTTCCATAGTGGGGAAGCGCTCTATTATTATTATTATTATTCTAGTTTAACGTCCTTTTTCAGCCTGAAGGGCTATATAAGACGTGTAGGGTTTTTAGGCCTGCAAGTATCTAAGTAGGTTATTTCTAGCTACGATATTTAGGAGGGGTTTTAACTAGATAAAGGTGAGGCTTGTAGCCTATTATTTAGTAGGTAGGGGTGAGATAGGGTGGGGGAGGTGTATGGCTACCTGTTACAGGTATTACTCCTCGTTTTCTGTGTTTCCCTTGTACCAGGCTTGTGTTCTAGCCTTTGTTTCTTAAATAAAGGTAATAGTTGCTTCTATACCCTCTTTTGTTTAAAAGAGGATAGGTAGTAATAGATCGCCTTCGCAGGCTTCTCTTAGTCCTTTTCTTTCCTCTCTATATAGATTACATCTAAATAGAATATAAGGTAGGTCTTGTATAGACCTATAGTTGCAGGGGCAACTATTAGAATCTACTTTCCCTCTCTTATATAGGTAGTCCCTTAGGTAATAGTGCCCTAGTTTAAGTTAGTAGAAAGCGCTAGAAATCTCTCTTCTAGTATTGCTAGGAATAGCGATTTGCTTTCTTATCTTCTACTTGTATTTTGCTGCGTACGTATGTGGATTTTTGCTAGTAGCTTTTTTCCTATACTGTTCAAGTTAGCTTAGCCATTCTCTCTCTCCTAGCTGCTTAATTCGCGAGCTAGTAATAGCTAGGCTAGTTTTGCTAGTAGAAGGAGGGTCTAGCTTAGTAGCTTCTTTAGCTAGGGCGTCTGCTTTTTCGTTCCTAGGGATATCTTGGTGGCCTGGTACCCAGTAGAGGCTAGGGCGTATACCTATCTCCTCTAGTTTCTTTGTTGCCTTTATACATCTAATTTGCCATTCTTGGCCTGGATTATTAGAAGCAGTCTTTAACCTAAGTAGAGCAGCTTAATTATCTGCATAGATTTTTATATCTAAACAGTTCTCTGCTAGCTCTATTG